ATATCGGACATTGGCCATTAACTTTATCGCTAATATTTGCCGTTACGATACCATGCCGATAATATTGTGCATCCCTGGTATTAAGGCTGGGCGATATGGCCTAAAATCAATATCACGATACATTGAGCAGTTCACCTCGATAAAACTACTGCTTATGCAAATAAATGAAGAAAATGTGTACTTTTAGTTGTTACATGTTTTTTTTTACAAATAAGCATACTCTGCTGCTGCCGCTTCAACATTCGAAATTTCCTCCATTTTCTCAACCGCACCATCTTTTTCACTTGTTGTTACAGACTGGATGGGGTGGAGTCACGTGACTGCACGTAGTGCAGCATCTTAAAGGGACATGAGCATAGCTTACCTATACACAGCCAAAAGACAGAACGATTTTTATTTTTTGAAAACACCAAAAATACCAACATGGGTAAAATGACGTTGATCATTGTTATAAATTTCGGTGTTGGTTAATTTTCAGTATATTGCCCAGCCCTACCTCGTATTTACTGTTCAAATATAGCACTTTATTAATTTGACATTTGTTTTACCAGGTGAAATGTTTGAGAACAGGCATCTTCATAGATAAACATGTGACGAGGACTCCGTATCTGATCTAACACTTGAATTTTTGTGCGGAATAAGCCAGGAAATGATCATGTTGTTGCATCTTTTATTCTCTATATTTACTAAAAAGATAATGAAATGTAAATATGCGTGAACAAATGTGGAAACACCAGTATGTGTGCAGTACACAGTACGAATGTTGTCGCTAATGTCTTTCTTCAGCAGTAAGTATTGTATTTTGTTTTCACATCTTTCCTCACTGGTGTCACACACACACAGGGGTCGTCTCAGTGTGAAACCTCTCTGTGGTCTCTCTTATCCATGCATGTCCTGCTCCTCCATGCTAAAGTAAGCATAAGTGTGGCCTACTGCTGGATTTGACAACCGCACACAGACCGAACTCAACCATTTACTGTACTAATCAGTTTCTGAAAGATCAGACTGTTCTTTGCAGCGCTGCCGTACTTTCCTGTCATTTTCACGTGAAAGTTAAAAAGTCTTGCAGTTTTCCTGTTTGTGAAAATATCTCAACAACCTCTGGACTAACAGAAACTTCTAAATGCTTGTGCTCTTAGTTTAAATTTAATTTATTTTGCTGAAACGACTGTTAAGAGCAGCTGCTCGTTTGCGTAAAATGATAAAACATAAAATACTGTATTGTACTGTAATGAATGTGCAGTGTGAAAGTTCTGAGTTGTTTGTCCTTTAACAATTTGCTTCCAAGGATTTAGTTTTGTGTAATATTTTAGTGGTCTTGATCAGTACTTCTGTTTTCAAATGATACAGTTTTATTTATTTTTTACATTAATTTTTAGGTCGGTACTTGACTGTTTTTAGAGGAATGTTTTTGTTAAGCCGCTCTAATTTGTGAATCATTCAGGCATAAAAAGGCTCCAACACGATGTCAACACAAACAACAAACAGATTTAAAACTTGATCTTGAAGGACTTTGTTACTCGCAGTATCAGAAGAGCGTAATTTGAGCCAATTTCTTTAGCTGGATTTGTGGCAGTTGAACAGACATAAAATAGTATTTTAGCACCAACAAGATAATTCAAAAGGAGCTATTGGAGTAAAACTTTGTATAAAAAGATCCACTAACGGATGATTATTAATTTCTCAGGTCCTGTGGGTCAGGTCAGACTTTGATACTGTTCATCTGCGTTACATATCAAATACCAGCAAAACATCTGAAGAAACGATGAAGGTTCTCAGTCATCCAGGTCATGGTCAATCTAAAACAAGTTAAAAAAAACAACAACTGGACTTTTATTCTGGAGATCAACATGTTTCACTTCCCATCCGGGAGGCATTATCAATTCAAGACATTAGTTGGAGAAAAACATTTGAATTGACAGAACCTCCCAGATGGAAAGCAAAACGTCTTAATATTCAAAATTTCAGTCTTTATTTTTTTTTTTTACTTTTTAATCTAAAGAAATGTTCATTAACACCACTTTTAAAAATTAAAAGCAAAAGTATAAAGAACTCAAAAACTGTGTGTTGTGAATGATGCTCCTCTACGATCGAGTGTAATGAATTTTTGCTCAAAATGTGTCAAATTGACTGAGTCGTAGCTCTTTTTGGTTTATTTATGTTGCTAACAAACAACGTTGATGCTAGAAGAATCCGTCCAGATGACCTGACTTAACCTTTTTGGATTTATTTACCTGGATGATTGAGCTTACAGTACATCGGGACTATGTTGACTCTATCAAGTAATGCAAAAGTTTTAGGCAAAGATGTCATCCAATGTGTAGCATTTGGAGTAAGCTTTGTGAATTAGGCTTAAATTGGGTGTGGCAGAGGCAGAGACAGATGCCTTGAGTTGCTTGGCTGTGGTAGCCATCTTGGATTCCTTCTAAAGTTACCAGATTGTAAACGTTCATTCAGTGATTATTTCCAAGAATTTTAGTCTCATTCACATCATATCTTTCATTGGTTCTTGATATTTGCTAACACATCAAGCACACAGACACGAAGAAAAGCAATACGGTTTAAAACTTTACCCTTGTGTATTACGACTCTTCTTATAGATAAATAAAACAAAAGTAATGCACATATACTGAACAAAAATATAAACGCAACACTTTTGTTTTTGCTCCGATTGTTCATGAGCTAAACTCTAAGACTTTTTCTATGACCACAAAAAGGCCTTTCTCTTAAATATTGTTCACAAATTTGTGTAAATCTGTTAATGAGCACTTCTTTTTTGCCAAGATAATCCATCCACCTCTCAGGTGTGGCACATCAACATGCTGATTAGAAAGCATGGTTGTTGCACAGGTGTGCTTTAGGCTGACCACAATAAGAGGCCACTCTAAAATGAGCAGTTTCACTGTGTTGAGTGGGTCTGAGTGTCAGAGTGAGTGGACCAACACTCTGCAGGCCACAGTCAACAACCTGATCAGCTCTATGCAAAGGAGATTGCACTGCATGAGGCAAATGGTGATCACACCAGATACTGACTGGTTTTCTGACAAGACCCACCCACCCCCAATACTGTAAAACTGCCTATTTTAAAGAGCCTTTTATTGTGGTCATCCTAAAGCACACCTGTGTAACAATCATGCTGTATATGCCACACATGTGAGGTGGATGGATTATTTGTGCTCACCAACAGATTTACACACATTTGTGAAGCCTTTTGTGTACATAGAAAAAGTCTTAGATCTTTGAGTTCAGTTCATGAACAATCAGAGCAAAACCAAAATTGTTGCGTTTATATTTTTGTTCAGTGTACTTTTACCGGGCTGCGCGGTGGCGCAGTTGGTAGAGCTGCCGCCTCTTAGCGAGCAGGTCGCCCCAGTTCAAATCCCGGCTGGGGGCCTTTCTGGGTGAAGTTTGCATGTTCTCTCCGTGCATACTTGGGTTTTCTCCGGGTACTCCGGTTTCCTCCCACAGACCAAAAACATGCATGTTAGGCTGATTGGTAACTCTAAATTGTCTCCAGGTGTGCGCGAGAGTGTGAATGGTTGTTTGTCTCGTTTGTCTCTACACGTCTCTGTGATGGACTGTAGACGTGTCCAGGGTGTCCCCCGCCTCTCGCACAGTGATGGCTGGATATGGGCACCAGTGACCCCCCCAACCCGAAAAGGAGAAAGCAGGAAAAGATGATGGATGGATGTACTTTTACCACAGTTACTGATAAACTGCTGATATCTTATCATTCATGTCGACTTTTCTAAACTAATCCACTGAACTTGAGCTTTAATAAAACTCCACTGCAGCTGAAACACCCTGCAGCTCTATATGCTCAGCGGTAGTGGAGTCAGCGAGCCATCCAGTCCGAACTCTGTGTAAAAAGCGTAAGAGCCTGTTAGACAAAAGACATCTGAACAGTAACGGCTTCCTGTATCACAGAGCGAGGCGGAGGGCGCAATCATCACCACGCTCTACATGTGAGACTCACCAGAGTGCATCGGCATGTGTCTGCACTGCTTCCTTGCATGCTGTGAGTGCAGGCATGTGTTGGGAGTTGTGTGGAGCTCAGCATCATATAGTTATTCTCCTTTCAGCAGCACAGCTATGTCATGGTTACAAAAAAAGTGCCACTTTAACAATTTACCTCTGTCAAAATGTATTGGAACTGCTGCTTTCTTTTCTTCTCCGTAATTGTTCATTTGCTTAATTGTTTCAACAAAAACACTGGTTTCCAAGAAATGAAGTTGACTGTGTTAGGAGACAAATCAAGCATGAAACTTCTAAAGTGATCATTTGTAACAACCTTAATTAAAACACTATAAAATATTCATTTTGAATAGTAGTACAAAACAATATTGGGTATTACTTTGCATGTTGATAAATAAAGACATTCATTTTGAAATGGTCCTTAATTATTTGTATAAATGTGCATCATTTTTGTGCTCGTTTACACCAGAATATTGATGTCTAACCCAAAGGACAGGACTGCACTGCTGTCAGGTGTAATTATATGGTGTCAGTGTTTGTTGCTGCACTCCCAGCTGGAGTGAATGTGTGAGGTGTCCTGGGGCGAGAGGACAGCTAACAGCAGGAAATTGCTCTGCAGGGCTCTGTTGTGTGTCATACAGTGTCTCCGTGTCAGAATGATCGCCAACCTGAAGTTTAATGTCCAACTGATGTGTGTTTTTATACAAGTGTGAGTCTGTCTGCAAGGCTGGATTATTGTTTTGCTCCCAGGATAAAGATGCAACACAGATTTAAACACTTAACGAATACAATCCGGTAGCTGCTTTTCTGATGTTCGGCAAATTGGATTTTTTTTCCCCCCTGTAATAATCTGTCTTTGAGTCACAGCACTGTGTAAAATTAGACCAATTTAAATAACAGCAAAAACAAATGAGTTAAGAAGTGTTCATCTCAAATGAAGTAGCTCCACAGGCACTCTCTTTAGCTTAAACTGAATAAATCCACTAAATTCTTAACCTGAGCCAGTCTTCTGTGTCTTCTTGCAGAGAAAACCCAGAAGGCAGAAAAGAGGAAGCAGAATGGAGTAAAGGATAAAGGAAAAGAGAGGAGGAAGCATAGTACTGGCAAGAAAAAGGAAAGATGGAAGTCAGAGAACGGATCCCTGCTTAAAGAGCTAGGTATACATTTACAGTGTGTGTGTGCGGCTGAATGCAACCTCAATATTTCCAGTGATCAAAAGAAAAAACTCCTTTTTGCCTCTGTTTTCTGTCTTTATGAAGAACTAGCATTACATTGGCAGTCTTGATGCAATGCTAACGTTTTCTGCTAATTTTATTTTTTGAGTAATATTTAAAGTTAAAACGGAAAAGTGAAAAGCTCACGTGGCTCGCTTCAAAGTTCATCATAAGTAACTGATCTAGTGCATCACAAGCGCTCAAACGCTTGATGCCGTTTCCATATTGATTAATTTGTTTTGCTTTTTCCACAAACATCATACCTGCTTCACTTATTCTGTCCTGCACTTTCAGACATTTCTGTTTAAGCTTCAGCTACGTTCCTGTTCAAATTCTGTATCTGTTCATGTCTATTTATTAACGGTGTAACAGTGCATGTTTACGTACTGAACTGTTGCAGAACAAACATGGTGGACGATTTCAGGAACCAGACAAATAATCTCACCCCTCTCTTCTTTTTCACGTTTGTGTTTCTAACTAAACAAAACAAAGTGTTTGTTTGACATGTGGCCCGAGGGACACTATTTATTTCCCATCAGATGAATGACAGAGCAAAATGACTTATTTTTAGAGCAAGGTCACCAGTTAACAAATCCTAGCATGCTGTACAACTTGCTGCTTTAGAGCCTCCTCATTACAAGCTTGGTTTGTTTTTTCTGTCTTTGGTTCTGAGTAGAAAACTACTACAGTAGTCGCTCTTTTAATGTGGGGGTTCGGTTCCGAACACACCGGCAGTAAGTGAAATTCTGCGAAGTAGCAACATTATATTTATTTTAATATTTATATATGTATTAAGGCTTTAGAAACCCTTCCCACACTCTTGAAATGTTCTAAAATCTTAAGCCTACGTCATTTTAACAACGTAAGTACAGTACTGTATATGTAGGTACTAAATTTTATTTACCAGGCTCGGTTCGTTTCCAGTTCGACTCTGTTCCGTTTCTGCAAACGTACAACAAAGCCCACAATCAAGGTTCTAAAATCTTAAACCTACTAATTTTAACAACATACTTATATGTAGCTACTAATTTTTACTTACCGACGTGTCCCCGTTCTGAGGTCCTCATCGGCCGGTTGAAAGAACTGAAAAACATGCCGTTGAGCTTCAGATGGACCACTGGACCTGCACGTGTCCACTGACGGCTCATCGTCGGCCGGTTGAAAGAACTGAAAAAGGTGCTGATGAGCTTCAGATGGACCATAGGCCGCGCGCGTCTGCTCGGAGGTTAAAGCTGTCATTTCTAACCCGGGTCCGAAGCCCGACCCGATCCGACCCAAATTCCGGGCGGGGTGGGCCATGATAATGTGCTGGATGGGGGGGTGGGGGGTTGGTGTCAGGCTTTTGATTGCGTCAGACAATCTGCCGCAATCCAATTATATGGCAACATGGCTTGCCATATTTTCCAGTTATATGGCAACATGGCTTGCCACACAATCACCAGCCGCATGCAGCCATTTCACTGCGCGCTGACCGGCCTTGAAAGAGGTCAAATAAAGTTCAGTTAAGCTTCAGATGGACTACTGCCTGGAAGCGATCCATCGCCCAAATGGATGTTCAATCAGCCGCTGCACTCTGTGGACGCGCGCGGCCGATGACCCAAACAGGTGAGATCCCAAAGCAGTAATGTCAGAGTGGTCTTAATGCAAAATCCAGGCAGAAACAGGGTTTTATTGCGCTTTGACGGCCATGAAAGTACAAACACCCCCTCAGCTCCGATCTTCTGCCCCTTTTATTCAGCCGCACGTCCGTCAACCTTTAATAACTATACAAGCAGTCAAAGCATAATTAAAAATGTTGGGGGGAGTTTCGGGTTCAGATCTGTAATTACTATTAGTCTGGTCGGGTGGGGTTTGGAAATGATGGCTACGGGCTGGGGCCGGTCGGATCAGATTTTTTTGGCCCAAATGCAACTCGAGTCCATGTGAGCGGGCTACCAGCTCTCAAGATTCACCAGTGGGTTTTGGAAGTCTGGTTCTGCTCCAGGAGCACCAACCAGATCAAAACTTTACCTTTTTTTTTTTTTTTTTCAGCAGAAGGAAACAGGGCTGCTGGGTGGGGCCCTGTTGCCTTCTGGGAAATGTGGTCATAATGAGCAGGAATACAGTGGAAGCTTACTGAGAGAGAACTACAAAATGTCTGAAGTATTTTATTTTTTCGTTAACTTTATACGGTACAGTACTGTATCCAGTACTGTCCCAATCACGTGAGTAATATTAAAAGTTAATAATCATGTATCCAGTACATTTTTTTTGTGCAATATTATGCACTGTATGTCCACAAACTGCGATTGAGCGAGTCTGCGAAAGTTGAACTACGAAGTAGCGAGAGACTACTGTATTGGCCTTATTTTTCCTGTTGTATCTTTCCTGTGACCCTCTTACTAAATTACAACCAAAGCATGACTCAAGTGAACCATTACACCCCTGCCATATATATTATGAGACCAGTTTGAAAACTAATACCCTTCAACGTGTCTGCTTTGCCTGAAAAGTATCTTTCCTGACACTGAAAGCGTCAGTGTATTTGTTTTATAGAACAAAGCTGTAAAAGTGTGATGACAGCTGGTGCCAACAATCGGTGCAAAATCAGATAAAATAAAATAAAAAAACACTTTGATTCAAACGTTGCAGATTGTAGTATTAGGGGGTTTTGTTGTTTTGTTTTTAACATTTCACTCCCACGTTAGGCAAGCACAGAAAACCTTTTGAAAACGAGGGAGTTAGTTAAAATACACGAGTTCAAGTTTAAGCTAGAAAATATACCCTGATGTAAGTTTTTGTAGTCGTGTACACAAACAAAACGTTAATTTAAATGCAGAACGCTTCAAGGGAGCACAAGTTGCGACATGTATTTGTGTAGGTGAACAGAATAAAAACCAAGCACTTGTTATCTTCAGAGTGCCTCTAAAAAAGACTTTGATGTAAATAGGTTGCATTTATGCTGTAGAACATCAAGTAGGAGGATATGTAGTCTTATAGTTTCTTTGAATTATGATTTAATAGCTTAGGAATAACGGATATCTGAGAGTCCAAATGAGTTTTGATGACTATTTTTTTCTCGTTGCTTTTTATTCTTCATCCAAGTTAAAAAAAAAAAAAAACAAGCACAATATTAGAGAACCAGCTCACTGACAGCAGCTCTAAAACAAACAGAGAGCCCTGTTCTTTTCTGTAATCTTGAAAATAGTTTGAGACAAAGTTACTGAAAACTGTAAAATATTATCTCCTCGAATCACCTGAACATGCTGGGATAGTTTAAAAAGAAGAAAAGGGTTGCACAAGATTGTAATAGTTCAGAAGTAGAGACGTTGGGCTCAGTTTAAACTCTTTGTAGCCTTAATATTAATCCTGTAACATAAAATGCATGGATACAGTAGTCCCTCGCTACTTGGCAGTTCGACTTTCACGGACTTGCTCTTGCGTGGGTTTTTTTAAGTAAGACAGGACATGACACACAACTGGCTGATTGATGGATGAGCCGCACGAGCGGCATGGATTGTTTATTTAAAATAAATTATTTTCAATGATTTAGCACATGCTAAATCATTAGGTGCATATATACAGTACTGTTTATGTAGCTGCTAAATTTTACTTACCAGGCTCTGCAGAACAGAAACAGCTCTCCATTCCAATCTGACTCTGTTGGTTTCTGCAGACGTACCCTGCAGCAACGAAGCCCACAATCAATGCTCTAAACTCGTAAACCTACTAATTTTAACAACATACTTATAAGTAGTTACTAAATTTTACTTATTAGTACTAGCGCTGCAGAACAGCAACATGAGCTAGTAAGTAAAATCTCTCTACTAAATTTTATTTACCAGCACGTCCCTGCTCGGAGGTCCTTGTCAGTCGGTTGAAAGAGATGAATAAAGTTCTGGTGAGCTCCAGATGGAGAGCCGGACCCAATGGGCTCCGGAAACACCGCTAGACCTTTGGTGGCACGTGTCCCCACTCGGAAGCCCTCGTGGGCCGGCTACCAGCTCTCAAGATTCACCGAAGGGTCTGGAGGTCTGGTTCTGCTCCAGTTCGGTGGGTTCCATGTGGCTCTCTGCCGAAGTCACTGTAATAAGCGCCAAACTTTTACAATCAGATCAAAACTTTCCCTCTAGTTAGTATTTCAGCAGAAGGAAACAGGGCTTCTGGACAGGGCCCTGTTGGCTTCTGGGAAATGTGGTCGTTATGAGCAAAAGTACAGTAGAGGCTTACTGAGAGAAAACTACAAAATGGCAGCGCCTGTCTGAAGTATTTTATTTTTTGTTAACTTTTTACTGTACAGTATCTAGTACTGTCCCAATCACGTGAGTAATATTAAAATTGACAATCATGTGTCCTGTACAGTTTTATTTTTTATTTATTTAATTTTTAATATATTTGTTAATGTGCGTTGACAAACCGCGATATAGCGAGTCCGTGAAAGTCGAACCGCGAAGTAGCGACAGACTGATTTATGTGACGCACAGAAGGGTGTTTAGTAAGGGGACATTAATTTAATGCAGTGCATTCTTTGCTAATCAAATTGTCAAAAATAAATTGTTGCTCCATCTCAGATCTTCATATAAACAAGTTTTATGTGACAAATACGCTGTTCTAAAAATAATAAAACTAAATTTTAACATGGTCTCATGAGACGGTCTGCTGCACTGGGATTTGTTTTTAAACTCTGATCCCTGATGAGTGTATTTAAGACATTTAAACGCAACATTTTTTATTTTTTGCTGATGTCTTTGAGCGAGATAAACAACCCTATGATGTTTAAGCATCTCTTTTGCACAGTGATACAGGATCTTCTTCCTTAGACTTGGGCTGGGTGTTGCAGAGCCAATAATGTTTTCCTTTGGATGTGGATTTGATAAATAAGCAGGCAGATGATAACACGGGACAGGAGAGCGGTTTTTCTGTGCCTCACTTCCTTCCCGCTCTGATTAAATCTTTTTCACTCTTATTTTTGTCTTCCTCCCTCCTCTATCGTCTTACAGTGAATTTGTCCCTCATATCTGGCCATCTGGCTCAGCGTTATGAAACTCCCTCTTTCTGTTTATTTTTCCTCTATTTCTCTTCTTCTTTTTTTTTCCACCTGACCGCCGAGGGATAAGAACTGCAACTTGATGCGACATGCATGCTGGGAAATCGTCACAAAAAATGTGTTTCCATGACAAATAAGTCTCCGTGTGTGTTTGTTGTGCTTCTGTTGTTTGCAACTGTACCATTTGTGTGCGTGTCAGTGTGTTTCTTTGTCAGTGTTATATATAGTATAGCGTTCCCTGTCTCAGTGTGTCGTCTCTGTGTTTGTCTTTGCATGCCGTATGTGTTCATATCTCACTGTCTAAGTGCGTGTGCGTGTATGGGTGTTGTGTGTCAAGCCATCTGTTCTCTGTCGGGTCTGGTCCTGACTCTCAGAGCTTTGACTTCCTCCGTGTTCTGGGATCAAGAAGGCATGCACGTACTAAAACTCTGTCTTTGATGGACTGTCCTCTGTCCACACGATCCGTTAGCCAGCGGCACTCAGGACAAACAAACAAAATCAAAGTCCTAGCATTCCTTCAAGGAATGCATATCACCTGCTGAATTTCATGCCAGAGTTTTAGACTTGGAGATTTAGACAAACCTTAATTTTTAAAAACGCAGTTCAGTCTCGCATAATAATAATAATAATAATGTCATCACAATGTCAGCACTGTATGTTTCCATACAATGGCGAAATTAGTCTCTGCATTTAACCCATCCACCACCAGGTGGTGCAGTGGGCAGCTATTGAAAGCGCCCGGGGGACATTTTGGGGATGAGACGTGCTGCCCAGATCACAAGATGTTCTGAGTGAATGAGTCCGCTACGACCACTTCAACTCTTAGCACAATGTAGGTAAAACTTACTGAGTTTTTATTTTTATTTGATTTAGTAACGTTTATTTAAGCAGGCAAATCCCACTGAGATCACAGACCTTTTTTGCAAAGGAGGCCTGGATGTTTTAGGACTGTGGGGGGAACCATAGTACCCGGGAAAAACCCACGCAAACATGAGAAGAACATACAAACAGCACTAGACAGAACTCAGGTCCAAACCAGGGCTTGAACCCAGGACCTTCTTGCTGTGAGGCAACAGATAACCACTGTCATTGTGAGTTAGTACATTTTGTGATGGCTAATGTTAAATAGCTGTGGTGGCCATGTTGAATTTGGTTACCTCTAAAAGCAACATAGTTCTAGAGGTGCATCCAATGATTAATTCCTTAAAATTTAAATAAATTCCATCAAGTGGTTCATGGGATATTTTGCTAACAGACAGATATATGGGTATGCACACAAAAAAGGAGATTTAAGTTTTAGATGCATCATCTACAGTGAATACTTGAAAAGCTGTCAGTTATTCATTTCACCTTTTTTAATCCTTAAATTAAGGATTCAAGGTTCTTTATTTGTCATTCGCACCACGTGTGCTACCAAAATTGTGTACACAGGGTCCCAGTTACATCCAACAAAAGTATAAATTGTAAAAGAAAAACAATAATAAGATCTAAGATATGAACTAAGAAAAACATTAACAAAAAATACGCTAAGCACTAGTAGCATAAAAACAATATGCCGAACAGCAGCATGAACATGAGACAAAATGTGAAATGCTTGGCTTGTTTTACGGACCGTCATATCTCAGTCTATTGAGACCCAGAAAGTTTGATTTTAAATGACACTTTATTAAAATATTAAATAAAATAAATTAACATTTTAGTTTATTTAAAAGAAATTAAAGTCAAGAAGATATTTTTGATGTTTTCAACGTAGACGAGAAGAGGATGGGTCATTAACTTTCGGATAAAACGGTGAAAACGAAAGAGTAAAAACGCTGATTTTTATTTCTTTATGATCATTTTATATATTTAAGAACAGTGGTCTTTAGATGCAGTAGAGAAAAACAATAACCTAAAAGTTATTCTAATAAATTTAAAAAGCTGTAGCAGGGAAAAAAGGAGGTTCATACTTTTTTTTTTTTAACAAAATAGCGAACAATTTTATGTCATAATAGATCAACAAGAGCTGAACTCTGAATAAGTTCTAACGTAGTTCTTACTGAGGTGCCACGGTCTCACACAGGTTGTGTAAACTATTTACATTTCTCTTTTCTTTCCTGAACTCTAATCTCGTTTTCTCTGTCCCACCTTCCTGTCTTCCTCACACTTCTTCCCTGCGTCTGTTCTTTTCCCCTTCGTCACCTATTCCCTCCCTCAGAGCTCTCCTGATTCCTGCAGAGACGTGCTGCGTCATGGAAACAACCGGCTCTCTGTGTGCATGTGTGGGATAGCTGGTGTTAAACGCACCCGAACAGCACCTCCTGCTGTCCTGCTTGGCAGATCATTATAGGCAGTGAAAATTTACAAGGAGTTCAAGTAAAAAGAAGAGAGAACGTTTTATTGCAACTCCCTGCATTTCTGATATTTGTTGGGAAGCCATTGTTCCCCAGGTACAATGACAGTCTCCTTGTGTTGTTGTTTACAGAGTGTCGCATAGCTGAATAAGAGCACGAAACTTCACCAGCAGAGAGCTGAACTTTTTAATGACAGCTACTCTTAACATTTCTTTTATGGGAGTTTAATATATTGATCACAGAAATGAAGCAGAGTTAAATATTCTGCTTGGCAACACATGAAAACTACTAAACTAAACCATAACCAACTACAAGCTGCTGTTTTTATCTCCAAATGCATCACATTATGTGTTCTTTCTGTTGTCTCTGCAGAGTTTGTTCTCCTAATGTACCTGCAGAGATGCTTTTTTTATTTTATTTTAATATGCTTCCACATATTAACATCAAATCAGAATTAAAACATTAAAAACAGCTCATATTCGGTGTGATAGTCGCTGAAACTCATCACCAACACACATTCAGAACACCAACATGTCCTTTAAAAACTGTGGCAGACGATGTGCATTCCCTCAGAGGACTGCTGATTTTAATTTATTGGGGGTTTTTATGCACAAAAAGTGGATTAAGAATGCTGCAGTGTTCTTGTGAGATAGATCAAAAGTACAAAGATTTAGCTGTAATAAATCCAAACAAGTTGAATTAAAGCTGGAACCTACAACTCTTTATTTTTTAAAAGATTTTTGAGACGTACGGAGTGAAATGTTGGTAAGATGTGCTCTCCTTGAGCTTCACAACATCAAAAATGCATTGTGCATGAGTGTGTGTGTTAGTAGAAGAATTAAAATGCCACAGACAGACAGTCATGTGGTGCATTAGCAGCACTTCTCACAACCAACAGAGATTCAAAAAAAAAAAAAGAGCAATGAAAATCTCCTAATTATACAGACACAAGCAAACACTTAAAGCAGGGAGCTTTGTCTGCAGCCTCCCACATGCATGACTGTACCGAACCGAACCACTCTGCACACGGTTCTGCTCTTTAAACGCACAAAAGATGGGAGAAAACCAGAGACAGTAAATAAAATGTAAGCTTGTAAACTGGTTGTTACCTTAATTTCTGATCAAATGACAGAAACATGTTTAGATTTATAATATATTGCTGAAGTGCATCTCTCTCTTTCACTAGTTTAGAAGCATAATGTTCATTTACTAATATAGCTGTCGTCATATGAAAAGGCTGAATGTTCTACTGTCAATTCTGTTTACAGAAACTAAGTGACTTTTATTTAGTACTTAGCAATTTAGATTGTGTGGTATCAGCTGGATCATGTCTGTGTCACTTTAAATTTATTCAGAGCTGTTCTTGATTATGTGTGAATTCTTGAACTAAAGTAGCTTTTGGTCATTTACGGATCAAGGTGAATGCAACACAAAACTTTTAGGATCTTTCTTCAGCTTATCGTCATGCCTTTTTGAGCGTTTCAGCAAATATGACTTCTGATGGCGCCTTAGTGTGTTTTCTGTAAAGTTTTGTTTTTTACTGCCCTGTTCAACTCTTCACACTAAAAGCAACTTTTTCTGTACTTTTCATTAATGAATTTCTGCACAGCCCCTAAACTATATGCTTTGTTTTTCCCCCCTTTCTCTCCCTCCTTTTCATTCTTTATGTCCACTCTTTTCCTCGTCTCTCTCTCTGCATACCCCTACCCTTCCTTTAGGTTTGTCAAAGTCCTTCCCATTGGACAACTCGTTGTTCGACAGCTGGCTCGCCCAGTCGGTGCAGATCACCGCAGACGACATGCTGAGCCAGTGGGCTCTGGGTGCCCAGCATCACGACACAAGTGGCAGCCTGCTCTCTGACCAGGTAGAACTTGAACTATGGTGACTTGGCTGCTTTTGAGCCGACTTGTGCCTTGACTATAACGAAACCAGTTACAGGTGGGAGTTTGTGCCACTTATTAGCAACAGTATGAGCAGTCCATCACTTTTTGAACTGAGGCCAGTCACTGATGGACAAACTTGTGACAGGAGCCAAAATAACGTGCACACCAGTGTGTCACTAACTTTTCTGCTTCTGAGCCACAACAAAACAGACTTACTGCTTCAACAACCATTACTTTAATTGATATCTATTTATTACTGCTGCTAATATTTAAAACAGTTACAGTGAAATATGTCTTTAATGATTTTATATTTCTGAAGATCCTCCTATGACCTTCCGCTTTATTTTGTGACCCATTGGGCCCTAACCCCAACTTTGGAAAACAACCTTTTACGGTCCAACTCGGACACCCACAGGTACTTCAAGACTAAATAAACTAGAAAGTACATTTTTATGACTGCTGAAATTTGCTCGTGAAGCAGAAACTCTAGCCTAAAGTAACAAAATGCCGACTAAACACTTAAAAGAATGAACAGACTTGCTCCAAGCTAAAGGAGAGTAAGACGACAAAAGGGAAGCAAATATGCTGAAGCAGGTTTCAAAGAAAATGAGGTTTTGAAAGAAACGCCAAAGTTCATAACACCCATGTCCTGAATGAGCCGAATGTTTCGATACACTGCATGAATGGCTAAAAAAGCGCAAAGTATGCAAAAGTTGTTAGACTGCAGAAAATAAAATGACTAAATAAAAAACAGGTAGTCTGTGTGAATGATGAATCGGCAACAGAAAAAAGCTGATTGGCATTAAAAAAAAAAACTCAAATGTGAAATGTGAGCGTGTTTGAATATTCCTGACAATTCTTCAGTCGTCTTACTTTTAAGGATAATACCAGAATAATACTGAAGGCAAATTAAAGCTCTTGAATGTTAGAAATGAAACTATCACATGTAAAAGTTTGACAAAAAGTGCATAAACATTTCTCTGTTGCCACCTTAGCAACGGTTTAGACATTTTTTATGAAGATCTGAAAAAACTTTTGATGGGGAAACTTTTAAAACAGTTCTATTGTTCTGAATGTACAGACCAAAGTACTATAAATGTCTTTATAACATGTTAGTGATGCAGAAAGAGATCAGATTAAATCGACTCGAGTTTTTATACAAGCAGCCGATGTGGTGTGCAGCCGGTTTTACTGATCAAATTTCCAAATCTGAGTTGTTGTTGTTGTTGTTGTTGTTGTTGTTGTTGTTGTTGTTGTTGT